AGATTAGTAGAAAGAGAAGGTGGTATCATACTGCTTCACATTTTATGAAAAATATAACCAGTATAAATGGATCATTAGATGCATCAGATTCAGAGTTAATGACAAACATTGCTGCTCACCAACACACTATGCTGACCATCAGTGGTCCTCTCCACAGAAGTCTGGTCATCTGAAATACACACACTTCCTAGAATATACCCTCCGAATCGCTGTTCATTTGCTATACAAGATATTAAAGAGCATTTATTAGATTTGGCCGTACCTGGTAGTCCATCATAGTGAAGCTTGGAAAAAATTCAAGAATGCGTGACTCAAAGAAGTATGGAAATATCCAAAATATAGGCATCTCCTTGCTGCTGTGAGCTAATAATGAAGAGAGATTCAGATGTAATTTTTTACTTTTTAATCAAGAAAAGCAGAATGCACAATGTAAGCTTCTATGAATATTTGTGCATTGAGACCAGTTGCCATACATGTGACAACTGCTTACAGCCACAGAAATTAGAACTAATTCCATTAAGAAAGCAGGATGCTGGTCAGCCCAATATGCTTATATTTAGCCATTATCAGTAAATTTCACTGGATATGTATTGTCTACCTAGACAATCATTACAGATAAATAAAAAGTACCTTGATTTATATCTTACACTATAAAAATACAGAATTAAGAAAAAAGTGATTTGCATCAGTCTCTTAATTTTTAAATATGAGTATTTAAATTATTACTTAAATTGTACATGTAATTTGGCTTCTTGTAGCTTTAGAAACTAGACTAAGTGGATGAACACTCATCTCACCAGTAGGAAGTATGCACAACATCAATAAGTCATTTATTATGGACGAAGTGACCATCTCCCATCATCTTACTCATTTCTAATGCATACCTTCCTCTTGTGCCTCTCTCCACATTGCAATCAGCTTCTTAAAGCTAAAAGCCAGTGCCTCCACCAAACCTCCAAAAGGAGGATCAGTCACCATTATGACCCCTTCACCTTTTTCTTCATGCAAGAATTTTCTACATACTTCTTGTGCAACCTAAAAGACATAAAGGTTAGTGTCCAGAAAACAGGCACAACATTTTTTTTTAAACTAGTGATGCTCAATGAGGGTGCTGCAAGATTCATAAACGTGCTACAGGGTGTTGTGCTAGATGGGCAGATACCTAAAAGTGATTCATCAGATAAATCTAGGTATTCCAAATAGAAATCTGGTATCAAAAATATTCTGACCTGTTGTGGTCTTCCTGAGTTTTCTGCAACAGAAGAATTGCTCTATTTGTCCGTAGGGGAAAAATTAATGAAAGCTAAGTGCTGGCATTTTCCAAGGGGTGCCCCAGGTCTAACAAGGGCTGGCTCAAGTCTAATAAGGTTGAGTACATTTAAGTAATACTGGACAATTTAAAGATAAGTTTATTGTTTGTAATTCCCTTTTAAAAAATGAAGATGTATGCTACTTTTTAAATGTGAAGTCAGCATTTCTCACAAGAGTGTGTTGACGCCCACCTTCCTGGGGTCATCTGATCTCAGCAGTCTTTCCTGCCCAAGTACGGGGGGCTGGACCCAATGACCTTTAAGGTCCCTTCTAGATCCTAACAGCTATAAAACACTACATTAAGAATACAGGCAACCAGTTCTCCACAGTCAAAGCAGATACAGCAAGGAAGGTTGCAGTTCAAATTTCTTACATTTCCTAAAATTGACCTGAAGGAATGGGTGTTACTAGGCAAGACAGAACAGTTCAGTCAATAGCTGCTCTTTTCTCTTGGCCTGCAATCTGTACAAATTATAAAAATATATTAGCTCCCATGCAAATTACAAGGGCTATGGTTTGACAGCACAGATGGGAAGTTTCTATAGTGCCACCTCAGACTTCCCAGAATTAAAAGAACTACAGTAAACTATTAACACATACAGTTATTCACTCTCGCTGGAGAAACTCTCCTGGGAGTGATTTAACCCTGGTTGTTCCCAGGTTATCTTTCTCCTGGAGTGGCCATTTTTACCCTGGGAGAAAAAGCCTGAACATCCATACACTCATGATTTCTCCTGGGAGAGCAGCAACTCTGCAAGGAGAAACTGAATGTCTGTACAAGGTGACAGACAGCAGAGCACTGTCCTTCTATCTCAATCAAAGCAACATTAAAAGAAAATAAAAAAGGTTAGATTTAAACTAGAAAGGCAAGAAAATTCATTTTGATTCATTCTAGAAAATACTTTTTTATTTCTAAGAATATATTAAAAGATATGATTTAGGATGAAAAAATATGAAACTGACTATGAGCACGCTACAGGGCATCACTAAAAAGTATATTTGTGTCAGTAAGCTGATGGCTGCAGTAATAATGGCCCTAAAAGAAACCAGCATCTACTGTTTAGTGACATGAGGGTTTTCAAATATGCATACAGTGCATGCAGTGTCTTATACAATGTATCTTACATTATTTTATAGTATATATTGTAAGATGTACTATCATATTGTTATAATGCTATGTTACTATAATTATATATTAAAATGACAAAAATAATGCATACTATATTATATAATACTACATATTACTGTAAGATTTTATTCTGCAGACAACTGTGGACATGACACTGTGGGGCTAAGTTTCTAACACTCAAACTAAATTATTCTGCCCTTTCCTGTCTGTGCTAAAGGATGCCAAATGCCTGTACTAAAAGCAACAGCATGGCTCAGCTGGCTTTGGGGAAAATCTTGAGAAGCTGAACAATTCTGTGGATGACGTACAAGAGAGAAGCTCATTTCCTTTTAACTACATTGGTTGACAGCAAAAAGCAACTCTTGATAGTAGGAATTTAAATACATGCAAGTCCTTTGTTCAAAGGCAGTGCCATTTTTACAAAATAAATTTCAGATTGGACCCTCAGTGTAAGTTAACAGAAACAGGAAGGTAAGGGTTGGCAATATTTTCGGGCAGTGCCAAAAACACCCACAAGGTCTATTTGTAAGACGCTGGTGTGCCAGGAGTAGATGGCAGGGGAACCGTGAGGAACCCAATCCTTTTTGTAGCAGTGTAGTCTAGCCTCTTCCCCACTGTCCACCCCGAGGTGCACATGTACCTGCCCCCAGCAACTAGCCAAGCTGGAGTTCTGTGGACTCTGGTGCAGCTGCTTGCAGCCTCCTAGCTACCTCTCACAGCTGACCCAGGCTCTTGCAAGCAAAGCAAGCAGCTGCACCAAGACTACAAGCAGCTGCACCAGGGTCTGCAGACCCCTGGCCCACCTCGTTGCCAGCAGCAGATGCACATATGCCTTAGGGCAGACAGTGGGGAAGGGGTCGGGGCTTCACTGCCACAAGAAGGATCAGGCCCCTCACAGCTCTGCCACCATCCGCCCCAAGGGCCGTCATGCCAAGTAAAATGTCTTCACATGCGCCAAGGGTTTCCGACCTCTACTATAGTAGAATTGATCTTTTCAAGTGTTACCAAGTAACAGAGTGCCAACCACAAACTGCCTGAAATTAAGGAGTTTCTCCTATGCATGGTCAGTGTATATTATACAGTTTCTTACATTGTCTTCTGAAGGATCTATCTTTGGCCAGTCAGACAGAATACTGAACAGATGCACTAGTAGTCTAAGCTAAAAGATTCCCAACTCTGTTGAATTTTTGTGGTCTTGTATTTAAAATGCTTGTTCCCATTGCTTCTGTAAGAAAGCAATTTGCATCAGTAAAGTCTTTCCTAAAAAGTCTAAGAAGCAGTAAGTAAAATTAGTTTTATAGGTAGTGTTACCATTAGATATAATGGTATATAGTTACTAAAGAAACAGGCACATTTATTCTTTGAGCCAAGATAGAATGTGATCATCTTCAGATCACGAAAATATTTTCTACCAGATTGGTAATACATTTCTATCAAGTTCTAAATAAACATTATATGTAGTTCAGAGAAAACATTCAGAGAATTTGACTGGCCCTTACCTCTCCACCAAAGAAATAATGGTTAAACATGTTATAGTGGCAGAAATCTTCCTCTGTATAAAATTGTGAATACCTGTAAAGCAAGTTTTAAATGTAACAGAAAACAAATATATTCCTGTCTGCCAGAAGCAAGGTTTTTGGTGAAAATATATTAAGAAAAAATCATTAAGCACTATCACCTTGGGGCACTGACTGTCCTTATAGTACTTAGTGGCAAACCACTGAGCGAATTGAAAAATAAGCATACAGTGTGGATTTTGGCTGAGCAGGAGCAGGGGGGAAGGGGCAGGAAGGGAGTAGATGACACAAACTAAAGATAAAATAAAATGCGCACAGAATAGTCTGTGTCTTTTTCCTATATAGGTAAGCACATAAAAAGCCTACCTGAAATCAATGTCTAACAAAAGGCTTTTAACATGGAACTGCTGTTCTTCAAATCCATTTATTCGGATCAATTCATGAAGCCTGAAATCATTAAAGCAAACAAGTTAATGGATACAATGCATTTCAGAAAATATTCAGCAAGATGAGTAAGACCAAAGTTTTTATAGAATACAAACCAACTTGTTTTTCAGATGAAATAAGGACATAGTTTGGGAGATTTTGGTGTAACCAATTTTCCAGTTTCACTAATATGCAAATACCCTTATCTAAAATAGAGCATTAGAAGATGATAGATCAGTGAAGATTACTGAATCCATCACACTGCTTAATAGGCTCAATTCTAACTGTCAATCTACTGCTTATTTTACCAATTAAAGAAGAATGGCTGCTTTGCCATATTTAAGAGGTCCTCCTTATTTGTGTCTTTATAAAAATCAACAAGATCTAGCTGCCTGGACAATACCAAGAATCTCAAACCTAAGTTTGTTAAAGGACTTTTATACTACTTACAGAGGGAAGATCCCTTCTACTAAATTAGTGATTTTCAATGAGGTTTAAGGTGGGAGGAGATAAACAGGGGTGAGGAGGTAAGGGCAGGCTCAGGCTTACCCCTTCTTGGCCACTGCCTGGACTCTTTGCAAAGAGTTAAAGTACTATAATAAACTAATTTTTTAAATGGGGTGCTGCTCCATTCACAGTTCTGGAGGGGTGTCTCAGGTCAAATAAGGTGCATCTCAAGACTAAAAAGATTGAGAACCACTGTATTAGATACTAAGGAAACCTAAGAAATTACTAGGTCCCAAGTAACAAATATACCTTGCCAAACACTGATGCTTGCTAACATACCTTGGTGTGCCAACACACAGCACTCTTCTGAATCCTAGTTCAGTAATAAGATCCAGCAAAAACTGGCAGCTTCTATCTGCAAACAAATATTGTGCATTTGTTTTCTTATTCTCCAGTGGATATAGAATCTGACTGGGCCTTTTTAACTGAGCATTGGTGATGTCAGTAAGTACTTCATGTCCAGAGTGATTTTCCCACTCAGCTGGCAGTAATAACTGCTGGCATTCTTGACAAAATTTCCTTTTCGATAATGGCAACAGAACAAACTTCTTATACCTTCAAACAAAATAATAAGAACCTCATTTACAAAGCAGAACCTTGAAAAAGGTGCAATGTTAGTATTTTAGCAAACTCTAAGTCATGTGCCTTAGAAATGTTAAGGTCACTATTTTATAGTTACATTAGCTACCTCTGAATCACTGAATGCAAGGGTTCCCAACATCCTAGCCAGACTCACCAAAGCTGCTTGCACCCAAGGGAAATTTGCTTTCCAAAGATGCTTGTTCCTTCAAGCTGACAGGCTAAGCATGTCTGTAGCATGTTACTTGCACTATACAATTGGCCACGAATGAGCAAAGTTTGGAGACCACTGAATTAATAACTAAGAAAAACTATTTAAAAGAACTCTTGGGAATACTATCCCCTGACAAGAGAAGAGCATTATATATTGTCAAAGTTTATTGGGGCTGATCTATTTCTCCTAGAAAAAGTACTACTTATTTAATTAAAGTGTGGAAGCTCATATTTTCACTGGTGAAGGCATGAATAGCCATAGTAACTAAACATGTAGGCCCATACATCTGACTGCAACATAAAGTTTAAAGAGACAGATACAAATCAGTAATTAATGTGAGCTGGTCAAAAAATTCTTCCAGAAAATGTGACCAGGATAACAGCAAGACCTTTATTAAATTACTTAGCAGTTTACATTTCCTTTGGCCTCTACGATCTCTCACATGACTAAGCAACACACTTTCCTTTTCAAAGAGTTTTCTAAAAGTATTCACCACAACCCACAATTGCTACTGACGTCATGAATTATTTCTATTAGAGCAGTGCTCTATCCACATATGCAGGCCCTACCACCTTGAGAAAGATACAGTACTTGCCCCTGAAAAGATTACGATCTAAGGAAATATTTCCTATTATTTTCCATCCATAGTTCACCATGTCTTGTTTTGCTAAGTCTCACTCACTGGATTTTTATTTATTTTTAATTAGTGTGAAAAAGGAATGCTCTCTATGTATGATGCAACTAACCCTACAGCAGACTCATATTTAGAAGGGTAAATGAACAACATAATACCTTTCCACATTCTGTCTGTGTGATAAAGAGGGCTGACTACTTCTATTAAATTCTTCTCGTGCTGCAAGTCTAGCATCTGACACCTGCAAAACAAGATGCAAAAGCTCCAATAATAAACAGATGTGGCTCTATTTCACATAATTTCTTAAATCAGAAAAGGGTTAACAAAAAACTCACAATGAAGTTTCAAAATTATCAGGGTGTTTCAGAAAGAAATGGCAATTATAATATAATAAAAACCTTAGTCTGTTCATCTGTCTGTCTGTAACACTTTATTCGCGCTCCGATTGGTTGTCTCGGCAACCAGAGTGCTCTGCACAAACAGCTACACATAGCGGAGCATCACCATGACAACGGGGACTATGGGGCCAAAGTGGGGGAATGAGGCCAGATTTGCTAGCTTTGCCCCCACCCTTCCAGGCCCTGCTCCTTGGAGATGGCAGTGGCATGGAATGGAGCGGCAGGGGGTGGGGGGCAAACAGGGTTGCACTGGGAGTGGCAAAGGAGGGGGCCCATAGGGCCAGATACAGGGGTTGGGGAGGCATATAGGAATGGGAGCGGGGTGGGGCAGGACACATAGGGCCAGAGGTGGAGCAGCAGCACCGCGGGGTACTGGATGGCAGCACTCTGTCCCCCCCCCACCCCATAATTCATGACAGGCAATTTGCTAGTTTTTAAATAAAGCCATTGTGTGTGCAACAATAATTTATTGGACCACATCACTTCTTTACACAGCTGTAAACAATGGGTACATTTGATTATGCTACCAATGTACCCCACTGTCATGTACCATATTTACTTGAATTTAAGTCAAACCTGAATTTAAAACAACACCCAATAATTAAAAACTAACTACATATGGAAAATGTACAAATTTTTTATAATTTTCTAGAAATATAATCAAGTATTGGAGGCATGTCTTAAACTCATCCCCCTCCCACTGCTACAGTAGGAAAAGCAGTGACTGTGGGAGTCAGATGGCTGAGCGGATCACCCTTGCCTTCTGCTACACCCCCACCTCTTCCCCCTGCAGCCTTCCAGGCCGCTCCCGCCCTGCCACCTGCACCCCATCCCCCAAGCTCCCCACAATCTCTGCCTCCCTTCCCCCCAGTCTTCATTTCTCACCTCTGCCTCCCATATTGTCAGATGCTGCCTTGACTCTGTTCCCTCCCACAGCACAACACAGCACAGCACATGAAAGCTCTGCCCTTGTTGGGCCATGCAGCAGCGACAGCACTGCTGACTGTGACTGTCCAGACTGAGCAGGATGGAGTCCAGCCTGAGCTGGAGCTGAGCTGCACTGCACCTGACAGTAATGGGGGAGGGAAGGGGCAGGGGTAGAAACTACAGAGGGCAAATGGAGGAGAGGGGGAAAGGCTGCTGTGAGTCTGACTCTGGCCCCAACCTAGGCTCAGGTCCTGAGTCAGAGCTGCCTGCCCCTACCCCCCCACTTCGTACATAAATCTAATACGAGGGGCTTTTCCCCCTATGCAGATTGGGGCAGGGTGGAGGAACGCCTCTCAGATTCAAGTAAATACGGTAGTTTTACACACAAAACGGTTTTACTTCAAAATCATTGCGACTTTCTGAAACAACCTCATGGAATATTCCTGGCATAAAAGCACCCCATCATCCAGGAATCCCTTATTCTCTGGGGAGATGACAGTGGCATCCAGCATACTCCAGAGGAAAGCATTTGAAAGAATTTAAAAATAGTGCAGAAGGATGAATACCCATCTTTTAATTCTTCAACAGTGAGCAGAGCCAGGAAGGGGAAACAACAATGCTCTTTTCCAATGGTGTGAGAGAAGGGTGTGCTGTCAAAGAATTTCCATAGCCAAAATAGGATCCTCATCAGGTTAAAAAGTTACAGCCTGATCCTACAATATTGAAAACAACAGGAAATTTGCTACTGGCTTCAATGCCTTCAGCTGTTGTGAAGGTCAGAGTCCTTCCCCAAGGGTTTTAAGTCTTCATTTTATCCCCCCAAAACTTTTTTTTTTTTTTTAAAGTCTTGTAAATGTAAGAACAAGGCATCTACAAAGAAGCCAGAAAACAACTCCACTGGAAAACCCTAAAGGCAGGCACTGAAGTTCAGTAGAATAATGAACTTGCAATAGGGTTTGTGATGCAGATGCAACTCCTTCAGGCATGTCTCACTAGAAGCATCACCACAGTCCATATAAACTAGATACCAGTCACCACACAGCTTTCTTATTAGTTTCCTCCCAGCAGCTCCTATCACCACACAGCTTTCCTATCACTACCTACCAGCTGGGCTTGAACCGTAACTTAGCAGTGAAAGACTTGGAAAAAAAATGAATTCCCAAATTATTCTGTATCAGTAAAAGGCAGAGTATACTAACATGCGGAAGAGAAGACGCATCTATTTATTTGATGTATTTGCTACCCATCCCAAACAAAGCTCTCAGCATTAGGAGAGAGTGCCAAGTTCTTTACATTTCCACTAGCATACATAGATCTTGAGTTAATACTGGGTCACAACTATCTGAGCAAAGACAGCAAACAAGGGGAGGGAGGAGGCTGGGGCTCTGAAATCACTGACTGTCGAGATGACCAATAATATCTCTTTGTTTCTTTTCTCTCCTAAATGCTTGTATCCATCTGTCATCTCCTGTCTTAAACATGGAATAAAAGTTCTTTAGAGCAGGGACCTTCTTTTTGTTGTGTCCATTCAGGTCAGAGCACAACATTATCTTGGTGTCCTTGCAGCAAAGACAGCTTGCACTGGAGCCAGTAATCACCACCCTGCTTGCCAGATCAGAAATCTTCAGTTCAAATATATATCCAAATATACATCCAAGACACGAAATAACATTCACCGCAGCCTTAAGCAGTCTATTCTTACCTTTTCATTTTCCCACTGAAAAAAGTTACAGTCTTTTCTATCCCTACATGCGGAGCAAGCATAAAACCTCCTCCCTTCTTCTTTCCCTTGGCTTATCTTGACAAACAGAAGAGCAGGACCTACAAGAGAAACATGCTGACATTAGAGGACTCAAAACCGAGATAAACAAATAAAAGCCTAGAAAAAGAGAGAAACAGGCAAGTTTTCTGTGCCGCTGGCAGGCTGGTCCCAATGACATCTGTGGTACTACACTGATACCCAAAACCTGCCTTTCCTTTTCAGAGTATATTTTCAGGCTCTCGAAAGCCACTGCCATGGCCTTCTGGATTCTCTCAGCCCACGAGACTGGATACCTCACACGGACACGGGGCAGCACCCGCACAGTGGTGCAGCCCTGAGGCCGGGAGGGATTTCTTAGGGCGAGATGTTTGCCGGCTGGGACCAGGGCAAACTCGCTTAGGTCCTGCACTGCATCCTCTGGGTCTGGGACAGACCTCCCCCGACCCCGACCCTAACCACCCCCACGTAACAGGAGGGCCCCGCGCGTCGGACAGGCCCAGGCCGCCAGGCGGGCGCGTCTTTGGGGACGGGTCCTGTTACTGCCGGGCCCAGCCGAGGGGCCGGAGCGGGGTCCCGGGGTTGGAAGCAGCGCAGGGGCCGAGGCCCAGCCAGGGAGAAGCACGGCCGCGCAGCCCGACCCACCGTGCGGACAACAGGGCGCGGGGAAGCCGGGCTCCGCGCTCAACGCCACCGCCTCGCCCGAGTCCACAGACGCCTCCATGCCCCAGGCAGCCATGAGTCCGCCCCCGTCCCGGCAGCCTCGGCGCGCTGCGGCGAGTGGGACCCAGCGCCGCGGTGGCTCGCCCCTGCCCCCGCCCCCGCCCTCG